GGAGAAAGGAAGGCTTGAATTCATTACTTCTGGAGGCTTTGATGAGAAGGGTTTCTTTTTTTTTTAAGTATTTATTTATTTATTATGTATACAATGTTCTGTCTGTGTGTATGTCTGCAGGCCAGGAGAGGGCACCAGACCTCATTACAGATGGTTGTGAGCCACCATGTGGTTGCTGGGAATTGAACTCATGACCTTTGGAAGAGCAGGCAATGCTCTTAACCACTGAGCCATCTCTCCAGCCCCCGAAAGGTTTCATTGAAGAATACAAGGCTGGAATGGGGCATGAAGGCACAAGTCAGTCATCCCAGCAGCACTTGGGAGGTGAAAGCAGGAACTCACCAGGAGGCTGGCCTGAGCTCCAGGAAAAATAAAATAAAAGGGGTGGTTAAGAACAAACACTGCTCTTGCGAGGACCACAGGAGCAGCTCACGCCGCCTGTAACTCCAGCTCCAGGGAATGCAATGCATTCAATGCCCTTTCACGGTCATGACACACACACACACACACACACACACACACACACACACACGTAGACCAGACTGTCCTGGAACTCACAGAGATCCCCCTGCACTTGCCTCCTGAATTCTGAGATTAAAGGCGTTCACCACCACCACCTGGCATAAATAAACCTTTTAAAAAATTAATTTAGCAGGACATGGTGGCATCCACCTGGCATTCTAGCAGTCTCTAGTTTGAGGTAGAGGACTGTTGAAATCTGAGCCCAGCATGGGTTATACAGATCCTGTATGAAACAATAAATTGTTAAATTATTTTAAATACTATTTTTAATTTTTCTTTTCTCTTTCCTTTTTTTTTTTTTTTTTTTTTTTTTTTTTTTTTTTTTTTTTCGAGACAGGGTTTCTCTGTGTAAGCGTACAAGCTGTCCTGGAATTAGCTCTGCTTCCCCAATGCTGGGATTAAAGGTGTGGTCAACACTGCTGGCCTATTTTTAATTTCTTTAAAAATTATTTTTTTATTACACTTATTCTGTGTGTGTCATGACACTCATGTGGAGGTCAGAGGGCACTTGGCAAGAGTCAATTCTCTTCTCACCAGTCTGACCAGCAGGTTGAGCTCAGGCCGTTAGGCACACTCACAAAAGTATTCACGGAGCCATTCTGCCAGCCCAAATGCTCACAATTTCTATAAAAACTATGGGGTGTAATTTGACTCAGTTCCTCGTTGTGGTGTTCCTTCTCCCCACCTCTAGCCTCCAGAGACCAGTGGCCTCGGAGCAAGAGTCAGACCCACACTGGGGGAGGGGGTCATAAAGAGTATGGCTGAGGTACTCAGGGCAGCCAGAAGCTAGGCTGGCATTCCTTCATGGCCATGCCACCTTAATGCAGGTGTTCCCATGGCCCCAGTACAATCGACCCAGCTGATCCTCCTACTCAGTTTCCTTTTTTTCAAGTTTAATTATTTATTATGTATACAGTGTTCTGCCTGTATGTATACCTGAACACCAGAAGAGGAAGCCAGATCTCATTACAGATGCCTGTGAGCCACCATATGGTTGCTGGGAATTGAACTCAGGACCTCTGGAAGTGCTCTTAACTCTTAACCTCTGAACCATCTCTCCAGCCCCTCAGTTTCCTTTTATATATATATATATGGGGTGCACCTCAGCCTGGAAATGTACCTTCTTCCTGTCCACAGAATAGCCCCTCATTCCTTGGCCTTGGTCCTGTCTGTGTTCAAGCATCTCACCACAGTCTGCAGACAAAGAGGAAGCAAAACTGGCCGGGCTTTTTTTAAAAAATTATTTATTTATTTTATATGTATGGTGTTTGCCTGCATATGTGTCTGTGTGCCATATATGTGCCTAGTGCTCAAGGAGGCCAGAAGAGGCCATCAGATTCCTTAGAACTGGAGTTACAGATGGTTGTGAGGGGCCATTTGGATGCTGAGAACTGAACCATGGTCTCTGGAAGAGCAGTCAGTGCTCTGAAGGGCTGAACCATCTCTTCAGCCCCAATTGGGCTTTTAAGATAGATCTGGGTTTCAGCTCCCAGGATAGTCACCATCTGATGAGAGCAGCGGCAGGAGACTTGCTCTGCAACTCTTGCCATCAGCAATGCCTTGGATGGGAGAGTTCAGAGTTCAGATACCATCCTTGCCACTTTCTCACTGAGTGGCTTCAGTCTCGGCTTTTCTGAGCACAGCTGGCCTGCCTTACAAAGCTGGCATCATCTTATATCTGGGGATGTATGAATATTAAATGGGCAAGCCCTAAGCTCTGGCCTCAAAACTAGGAAACCTGTGGAAGGCAGCCGCTTTCCGTGAGCCTCACATCTTGTTTGTTTATTTATTGTGTGTGTGCTTGGTCTGAAGAACAAATCATATAGCTCTAGAACAGCATCATGGACAGTAAGTGTCTCTGAACTAGAACCCAAAACGGTAAGCTGTCCCACTCCTGCTAAGCACCTTTCTATGGCTCCCCAGCGCCCTCAGGTACAAAGCCTCTCACCATGTCCTAAAGGGACCCGTGTGCACTCTGTGGACCACTACCCACTACTGCAGCTCCAGTTCCTGAGTCTGCATTCTTGTCACCGGGTCTCTAGGTCCCCGAACTCCAACGCAGCAAGTTTCACAACCCGTGTTCCCACAGACCTCCCTCCTGCTATATCTCCAGGCTGTCTCACTAGCTCTTCCAAATCTGCTCCTTTTTGTCTTTTCTTTTTCATTTGGGACAGGATCTCACTATGTAACCAAGGCTGGTCTTGAACCTGGGATGTTTCTTCCTGGACTTAAAGGTGTCCAGGTTCCTGTGTCAAGGACACTGTTGATTGAGGTGGCATGCGCTTGTAATCGCAGCAGTTAGGAGGCAGAGGCAGGGGAATCAGGAGTTGAAGGAGTATGGGGCTAACCTGGGCCATATGAGATCCTTCCTCATAAGCCGGGCGGTGGTGGCGCACGCCTTTAATCCCAGCACTTGGGAGGCAGAGGCAGGCGGATCTCTGTGAGTTCGAAACCAGCCTGGTCTACAAGAGCTAGTTCCAGGACAGGCTCCAAAACCACAGAGAAACCCTGTCTCGAAAAACCAAAAAAAATAAAAAAATAAAAAATAAAGAGATCCTTCCTCAAAAAACAGAGGGGGAAACGTATTTTAGTTTGCTGTTATTGCTTATGGCTGCCATTCTAGCCCTCTGGAGGTAGAAATAGGAGGATTGGGAGTTCAGGGCCTTTTCTTTCCCTTCCTTCTCTCCCTACCTTCCTTTCTTCCTCCTTTCTTTCTTTCTTTCTTCCTTTCTTTTTTTTTTTTGACAGCGTTTCTATGTGTAGCCCTGGCTGTCCTGCAACTCTGTAGACCAGGGTAGCCTATACTCTGATACCCGCCAGCCTCTGCTTCCCATGCTGGGATTAAAGGCTGCGCCACCGCTACCATCTTCTACCTAGTTTTCAGGGTCTTCAATTCTTAGCCTAAGGGTCACCACTTAGTCAGTCCTGGGACTTGTCCCAGATCCGGTGTGTCTACTTTGACCTGGCCTTATCCACCAGGCTCCTCCTCACTCCAGCCACCTCCCTAGGTCCCCACTCTTCGTCAACCTTCCAATGCCCTACCCATCTGAAATAATTTGTACTTCTGCTCAAAAGCTCTGTGGCTCCCTCAGGTCCCTAGAACAAAGTCCCAGCCACTTCCTGTAGCCCCAGGGCCTTAAATGATGCCCTCATCCCCACCTCGTGAGCCACCCTTCACACCTCCTAAGCACTTAGTTTGCAGACTCACTGCTTGTCTGGTCACGGTGTGCATTCCGCACAGACGAGAAAGTAGGGATTGTTGAGGCATGATTTGGTGGTCAGGGTTATGCACGGGTTTAGGGGTAAAGTTGGGACCCTGGCATACACTAGGCTTTAATACCACACTGCAAAAATTTGTACAACATGTACTCATGGAGGAAGAAAGCTGGGTGGCTACTTGTGGGGAGTGCTGGAGTCAGGAGATACAGAGGGCAACTGTCAGGGGAGAGATGGAGACACTAGGGCAGCGTGAGTGTCATCTAAGGGGAGATGGAGCCAGGAAAGATGGGAATAACCGATATGAAGAGATTTAGGGTGAATGAGGGTTTTATGAAGGAGAAATGACAAGAGAGATGAGTGGGTGACTAAAACGAGGCTAGAAAGAGATTGGCTCAGCATGCCTGTAATCCCTGCACTCAGGAGGCTAAACACAGGGATCAAACATTCAAGGCCAGTCTGAGATGCAGATGAATTTGAGATCAGTTTGGGTTACAATGAGACCCTGTCACATAAATAGAGAAAACTGTACATTTAGGGCTAGCCAGGGCTTAAGGAGAATAAAAACGAGTAAAAAGGTGATGTGCTGGAGATGGCTCAGCAGCTTTTAGCTCTTGTTGCTCTTCCAGAGGGCCTGAGATAGGAAGTCAGTATCCGGATTCGGTGGCTCACAACCATTTGTAATTGCAAATTCCTGGAATCTGACATCTTCTCATCTCCTCGGGCTACTGCAGTTGTGTATCTGTGATACACAAATAATTAAAAACAAAAATAAAATATTTTTTAAAGGGGAGGCGATGTAAGGAATGTCCTGGCGACAGAACTGGGGGCGGTGGTGACGATTTAAGTGGGGTCCGACTTAAGAGAACGAATAGGGGCACCTAAGGACGACAGAAGAGAGACGCATTACAGACGAGAGGGTGACATAGGGACAGCGGCAGAAGTGTCACGACCCCAGTTCGCACAGTACCTGCACTCCACGGCTTCTACTCCAGAACCCAGCCCCGCCTTCTTGCCCAACTATGCGCAGGCGCACTTGGCTAGGCTGCGGGCGGGGCAGGGGCCTACCTGAGCGTTTCTGATTGGCCGTAGTTGGTGAGGAGGAGGATCCCGGGAGACTGCCTGCCCTCACGTGACAACAGCGATCGACGCACTCTCTCGCTGGTTGGCGGCTACGAGGGCTAGAGCGGCCAGGTGGGCGGGCCAGTCAGATCCGGTATCAAGGACAGGACTTCCGGGGCGGGCGGCCCAGGCGGTGGGAGGAGTGGCTGACGGTTGGCGCGACCCGGAGGGCGGGCAGGCGGCTCTCGGGGGTGCGGGCCCGCGGGGCCAGGTGAGGTGCGGGCCTGGGTGGCGGGACTGGGTTGGAGGAGGCTGGGGATGGAGATGCAGAGTGACCAATGGTCTGGAGTCCCAGTGCGGACCACACTGTACGACCAGATAAGTGATTTCTTTTTCCGAGTCTCAGTTTCCTCCTCTGTACAATGGGGCCCGAAGCAAACTGTAGTACCCTTTTAATGGAACGTCAGCTCGTGCACGCCACGGCTGCTCCCAGAGCTCCCGTCGTTGCTCTTCCATCCTTGTTAAAACTGATGATGGGTACATGCGCGGAAGATGGCCGGGCTAGCAGGGTTCGAATCTCAGCTCCCTGTGCAGCACTAGGACTGTGTCTTTACCTCTCGGAACCCTAGTTTCCTCTGCACAATGATAGTCTCAGCTTCGTAGGTTCATCGTGCAGGTTTTGATGAATGTCTTTGGCAAACCAAGAGCTCAGTAGATTGGGATTGTAGTAGCTGCGAGTCCCAACAAAATACAAGGGAAGTCCAGAGAAAGCAAGGAAACAGCCGGGAAGATCGACACCCTGATATTTGCCGAGTATTGAAGTAGAGATTTAAAGTACTAACAGATGCATGTTCCTCAATTTAAAAGGGGAAATTTACATCGTTATCCTACTTGGGAAATTAACATTGCTTGCCAGGAGAAGGGAAACTTAACTTAAAATACAATAGTAATAGACCAATCTCTTCAGTGTGGGCAGTAAATGAAAGATATTTGAAAACTGGACGATTTATTTATTTATGAGACTGAGTTTTTCTTTTTCTTTTTTTTTTTAAGATTTATTAATTTATTATGTATGTATCCCTGCATGACAGAAGAGGGCACCAGACCTCATTACAGATGGTTGTGAGCCACCATGTGGTTGCTGGGAATTGAACTCAGGACCTTTGGAAGAGCAGGCAGTGCTCTTAACCACTGAGCCATCTCTCCAGCCCAGAGACCGAGTTTTTCTATGCAGCCCTGATGATTTCTTTTTTTTTTTTTAATTTATTTATTTATTATGTGTACAACATTCTGCTTCCCACACACCAGAAGAGGGCGCCAGATCTCATTACAGATGGTTGTGAGCCATCATGTGGTTGCTGGGAATTGAACTCAGGACCTCTGGAAGAGCAGTCAGTGCTCTTAACCTCTGAGCCATCTCCAGCCCAGCCCCGATGATTTCTTTCTTTATTTATGAGGCCGAGTTTTTCTATGCAGCCCTGATCATTATTTATTTATTTATGAGACCGGGTTTTTCTATGTAGCTCTGGCTGTATTGTAATTCAGTAGACCAAGCTAGCCTCCAGTTCACAGAGATCCACCTGTCTCTGCCTCTGCCTCCCAAGTGCTGGGATTAAAGGTGTGATCCACAATGTCTGGCTGGCTAAATAGTCATACTTGGTGCCCATCTCACACCTGTATGCAACTAACATTGGGTTAGGTCCACAACTCACTAGTTTAGTTAAGATTTAACTTAATATACTTACTATGTGCCATACATAGTTGTAGGAACTTTGAGTTTGCACATTCTATCCCCCTAACACCTTTTTAATTTTTTAACTAATTAATTTTTTTTTAAGATGGTTTCTCTGTGTAGCTTTGGAGACTGTCCTGGAACTTGCTCTGTAGACCAGGTTGGCCTCAAACTCAGCTATCTGCCTGCCTCTGCTTTCCAAGTGCTGGGATTAACGGCGTGCGCCACCACCACTGGGCTTAAAATTTCTAAAAAGATAGGTTTTAGCCGGGCGGTGGTGGCGCACGCCTTTAATCCCAGCACTCGGGAGGCAGAGGCAGGCGGATCTCTGTGAGTTCGAGGCCAGCCTGGTCTACAAGAGCTAGTTCCAGGACAGGAACCAAAAAAGCTACCGAGAAATCCTGTCTCGAAAAATCCAAAAAAAAAAAAAAAAAAAAAAAGATAGGTTTTGCCGGGCGATGGTGGCGCACGCCTTTAATCCCAGCACTCGGGAGGCAGAGGTAGGCGGATCTCTGTGAGTTCGAGACCAGCCTGGTCTACAGAGCTAGTTCCAGGACAGGCTCCAAAGCCACAGAGAAACCCTGTCTCGGAAAAAAAAAAAAAAAAAAAAAAAAGATAGGTTTTATTATGTGGATGTGTGTGTTAGGTCAGAGGAAAACTTGACCTGGTGGCCTTTACCTTGCCTCTGAGAACACCTTTAAAGACTTTCCATCCTTCATGGACACTGCGGAATTTGTGTGGAGATTAGGACAGCCTTTGAGAGTCAGTGCTGTCCATTGCATGGGATGGGACTCCTGTGGTCTGAGTTGGAGGCAGGCAGGCCCCCTTGAGTAGGTTATCTTATCTTTTTTTTTTAAGTATTTGCTAGGCACATGCTCCGACATTGAACAGTTTCCCAGCCCTGGACTTTTTGGGGTAGGGTCTCTTTGTGTAGCACACCTGGCCTGGAACTCAAAATTTCAGCCTCAGTTTCCGAGTTTTGGGATTACAGGTGCCTGCTGGTGTGATGGGTAGCAATACCATCGTTTAGATGGCTTTGAGAGGTGAGTCCCAGAAAAGTATAGCAAAACCAGACCTCGGTTTAAGCTCCCCGCCCCCTCTCTTTACTTCTCCACTCTTCTTGGTTTCTTTGAGACAGGACCTTGGTATTTAGCCTTGGCTGTCCTCAAATTCTTGGAGCTTCTACCGCAGCCTCCAATACCATGCTCTTGATTCAAGTCTCCTAAGGACATAAAAGCATCTGGACTCTTGTAAATGGTAATTCCTTGAGTTTTTTTTTTTTTTTTTAAATATTTATTTATTTATTTATTAAGTATACAATATTCTGTCTGTGTGTATGTCTGCAGGCCAGAAGAGGGCACCAGACCTCTTTACAGATGGTTGTGAGCCACCATGTGGTTGCCGGGAATTGAACTCAGGACCTTTGGAAGAGCAGGCAATGCTCTTAACCACTGAGCCATCTCTCCAGCCCCCCTAATTCCTTGAGTTTTAAACATGTTAATTTTGTCAATTTTCACTATTCAGAAAGAGATGAACTTGTAAAATATTAATCTGTGTGTGGGCCCATGCTCATTTGTGTGTATGCTCATGTGCAGGTGTGCGTGTGTGTGTGCACTTGCTCATTTGTGTGTATGCTCATGTGCAGGTGTGCGTGTGTGTGTGCACTTGCTCATTTGTGTGTATGCTCATGTGCAGGTGTGCGTGTGTGTGTGTACATGCCTGTGGATGCCAACCCAGTCCTTCTTTACCTTATGTTTGAGTCAGGGTCTCTCATTCAATGTGCAGCTCATGCATTTGGGCAGACAGGCTGGCCACTGAGCTCCAGGGATCCTCCTGTTTTCCCCTCCTCCATGCTTGGCTTTATAAGAAGTAGGTGGTGGGGATTTGAACTCAAATCTCATGCACAAGACTAACTGAGCCACCTCCCCAGCTGGGGAGATGAACTTTTTAAAAAGAGGATTCATTTATTTTTCTGCATATGTGTATTTACCGGCCTGTGCGTGTTTGCACCATACGCATGCCTGATGTGCTGGGAGCCCATGCTGTTGGATCCCCTGGGACTGAAGTTACAGGTGGTTGTGGCCTGCTGTGTGAGTGCTGGGAACCAGACCAAAGCAAGGAGCTGTGTTAACCCCTAGCCACCTCCCTGGCCCCTGGAAATGGATTTTTAAGATAGTAGGGAGAAGAAGCTCCGTGCCTGGAAGATAGAGGCAGAAAGATGATGAATTCATGACCAGTTTGACTAATTCAGGAGACCCAGTTTCACCAAACTAAAATAGGCAAAATGGTGTTAGGGAGCTGAAACTGAGTTGACAGCGACTTCACTGCCCTAGGGAATTCTGGTTTAGGATTAAGTGAGGCTTTCCAAGGAAAGGCTGGTTATGCCTGCTGTGTAGCAGTCCCTCGGTCTCCAGTCAATGGACTGACCTGAGTTCAGTCCTGGTTCTGCGGCGACCCTGCTGTGTTTTCTTGGGCTTACCATGCTCTCTGTCTTTAACTTTATTTCCTCTTTTTGCTCATTTTTCTTCCTCCCAGGCTCACCATGCAGAACCACTGAGATGTGCATATTCCCAGTTCCTGGCACAGAGTAAACACTCGCGAGGGCCTGCTCCATGGGCTTCGGAATCAGAGAGAACTCGCTTCGGAATCTCAGAAAGGTCAGAGTGCATATGGCACTTGGCAAGTGGCTGTTCCTTGCTGAGTCAGGTGTGGTTTTAATTGACGAGAACGGAACTAATAATAGTCTTCCCCTGTGAGGCTGTTGGAAGGCATCTTTGTGGTGCTCTGACCTGGTGGCTACTTGGTGCTTGGTATGTGACATGTCCTGACTTTCTCAGAGATGTTTCTTGAACTGTTATTGGTGTCAGATCCAGAACTTGCTGTATAGGAAGGCTAGCCTTGAACTTCTGATCCCAAGTGCTGGGACTGCAGGTATGTGAACCTGGTGTGTATGGTGCTGGTGATTGAGCCCAGAGCTCATTTGTGCTAGGCAAGTACTCACCCAATGAATTACCCCTGTAGCCCCACCTACCTATCGAGACTGGGTCTTGCTGTACAACCCAGGCTAGCCTTGAACATGCTATGTAGCTTGGGCTGGCCTCCAAAGCTCTTCAACCTCCTTTAAACAATTGATCATCTCAGTGAAAACTGGTTTTCCATTCCTTTGGAGCCTCTTGGGGTCTGGTACCCCCTTCCACTCCATCCCCTTCCAGTCTGGCTCTTAAGCACACTGGAGGAGCTTCTGGCTTAGGACACTAGACTCATTGTCCCCTTTTCTGGAACACTTTTCCTCTAAAAGAACCACACACTCACTGACCTCCCCCAGGTCTCTACGTGACATCTCAGTCTTGGCAGATCAGCCTCTTGGAATGGCTCCCGCTCTTCCCCGGCCATCCATGCTTTCTCCACAGCCACTGCCTTTCTAGCTGTTTGGTTTGCTGTCTGTCCCCTGCTTCTCTGCCCCAATTGGGCTCCATGGTTTTGTCCTCCTCGGGATGGTGAAGTATCTTCCGCATTGAAGGTTCTTGGGAAACCTGTTTGTTTGTTTATTTATTTTGCTGAGGACCAGACCCAGCCTTGCATACGCTAGGCCAAAATTTTGTCACTGAGCTACATACCAACTAAATCTTTTGTTTTATGTTTGATGCAGAGTCTTATGTATCCTAGGCTGGCCTCGAACTCATTAGCCTTCTGTCTCAAGTCTTCTGAATGCTGGGATTTCAGACACTCTACCCTGCCTAGTTTCTGTCTTATGTTTGAGAAAGAGCCTCACACTGGATATAGTGGCATACTCATTTAGTCCCAGCAATGCGGGGTGGGCAGAGACGGGATCTCTGAGTTCAAGTCCAGCCTGTTCTACAGACTGAGTTCTAGCACAGCTAGAACTGTCAACATCCAAACAAACAAATAGAAAAGGTCTTGTTTGTAGCCTGGGCCATCCCCCTGCCTCAGTTTCCTGAATGGTGGGTAGCAGGTACGTGCCACTGTGGCTGACTTAGGGAGTTTCCTTTGAGCTGTGAGTGGGTCCATATGCTTGGATTTGGGGCCACTATTCCAGCTGGACCTGTCATGGTGTGAGGAATGGAAGCTTGGACATTGGCCTTCTGTGCTGGTACCTTTATGTCAACCTGCCAGGGTCATCTGGGAGGAGGAATCTCAATTGAGAAAATGCCTGCATAAAATTAGCTTGTAGGCAAGTGTGTGGTGCATTTTTTTCATTGATGATTGATGTGGGACGGCCCAGCCATGGTGGTGTGTGGGTGGTGCCATCCCTGGGCAGCTGGTTGTGGGCTTACAAGAAAACTTGACTGAGCAAGCCATGGGAGCCAGCCAGTGAGCAGCACCCCTCTGTGGCCTCTGCATCAGCTCCTGCCTCCAATTCCTGCCTTGAGTTTGTGCCCTGACTTCCCTCTAAGATGGACTACAAGCTGTAAGATGAAATAAACCTTTTCCTCTCCAGGTTGCTTTTTGTCCTAGTGTTTATTACAGCAATGGAAAGCCTAGCTAGGACACCATCTTTGAGCTCCTCCCCAGGCAGAGCCGATAGCTGCTATGGCAGCTCTGTCCCAGGCTGACATCCTGCCAGCTGCTTCAGGCTATTCTTGGGTCGTGAGCCCCTAGTCCAGGAATGCTCCTCTGGCAGGCAGGCCGGCAGCACCGGGAGCCTCAAACTCTCTGTGGGTCGACAAATGGGACCTCTCCTTCTATCTTCCAGGCTCCAGGAAGCAGAGTCAAGGCCAGGGAGACGATGGTCTCAGTGACTATGGGTGAGTCTGGTTTCCCTGCAGGGCCCTTGTGCCCTCCTTTCTGGGGGTATGGTCTGGGTATAGAAAGATGAAGCAGGAAGGTTGGAAACAGGCAGGAACAGCTGTGCTCTCCTGAGGTGGGGGTGGGGCTGGAGCCTGGCTGTGTTCTTCCTGAGTTGGGCCTGCTGCATTAGGAGTTTGGCCTGGAGAACTTCATAAGACCCTCTGGTCCATGCTCCACCTGGCCTGCTAGAGCCTCAGTTTTTCTACCTGTGAGTTAGAGATGGTAATCCTGCCACCTGGATTGAAGAGATTACCGTATGTAGAATCTTGGGTGCATTCCTCAACAGATGTTATTTGTGCTTGATGCGAGACAGCCCCAGATTATCTCTCTTCTCTCTTTCCTGAGATACAGGCTCAGGCTAACCTGCTACTCCTGGAGCCAAGGGTGACCTTGACCTCTTTTCCTTTCTGCCTTTTCCTCCAGTGCTGGGCTCATAGGCACTACCACCAGCCTGGTTAGCTTACTTGCTCCTTCTCTTGCTCTTAGTTTTTTTGGTAGGGGAAGACATAGTCTCCATATGTGTCCCAGGCCACTTTCAGTCTTCCTGCCTTAAGCTCCCGAGTGCTGGGTTATAACTGTGTGCCAGCACACCCAGATCCCCCGCTCTTTTTTAGGTTGTCTGTTGGGATTGTCAAGGCACAGAGATCACATGGTGACTTAGGAAAATGTTGAGATCTCTTGCACATGTACGAAAATCCATAGCCGGGCAATGGTGGCTCATTCCTTTAATCCCAGCACTCAGGAGGCCGAGACGGTTGGATCGTTGAGTTTGAGGCCTGCCTGGTCTACAGAGAGAGTTCCATCAGGGCTACACAGAGAACCTTGTCTCAGGGGAAAAAAGAAAAAGAAAAAAGGAAAATTCATAAAATATATTTGTATGGAATTAAAAGCAACTAAAAGACAAACATTTAGCAGGGCCCAGGCTTTGAGTCTACATAAACAAAACCATGCAGTATATAATGATGTGTAACTGAGAGCACCTGTGGGGCTAAGCAGAACTAGTGTCTTCCTTTTTAATGCTGTGTAGTATTTCACACGATGTTTACCGATGCCACTGTCAAGGGATATTGCTTAGGGCTTGAGGTGTAGCTAAGTGGTAAAGCACTTGCCTAGGATTCCCTGTGAGGGACTTGGGGTATAACTCAGTGTTATGGTTTACTGAGGGTAGGAGGAGGGGCTCTCAGAGCTAGAATAGAGCCCTTAAACTGCCATTCATAAGGCCTGTCCCATCCTCATCACTGAAGATAGGCATACAGTAAAGGAAATTGTTTTGTTCTGGGATAGACGTCTGCAGTGTATATTCTTGACAATTTCTCTTGAGGTTACTAGGTAACCTCATCCTGCCCGAGTCTAAGATACACTGTTACACAATGTAACATTTCTGGGTAGGAGCTACATTTTTTTTTATTTGGAGACAAATTTCTCTTGATCGTTCACGGTGCATCCTAGAGTTGTCTCAAACCCACCACTTCAGCTTCCTGAGTTCTGGGATTAAAGGCTCGCACTACCTCCTGTGGCCCAAATATTTCTTTTCTTTTTTGGTTTTTCAAGTCAGGGTTTCTCTGTAACAGCCCTAGCTTTCCTGGAACTTGCTCTGTACACACGGCTGGCCTTGAACTTTCAGAGATCCACCTGCCTCTGCCTCCTGAATACTGGGATTAAAGGCATGAACCACCACCACCCAGTGGCCCAAGTATTTCTTAATGGCCACTGGTTTATGACAGCTCAATTGGTCACATGTTTGCCTTTTCTCTGTAATACACAGCACGGTTGTGTGAGCCTGATGTAGAGATTCTGCAGCTCCTTGGACATCAGGCTCTGTCGGGCCTTTGTGGGTGGTGCACACTTGTGATCCAGCACAGGAAGGCACGAGGATCAGGAGTTCAAAGTCATTCTTTGCTACCTGGTGAGGTCAAAGCAAGCCTGAGACCCTGTCATTTTTTTGAGACAAGGTCTCACTATATAGCCTTGGCTGTCTTGGAATTTGATGTGTAGACCAGGCTGGTCTTGAACTCACAGGGAGAGCCCTATTGGCCTCTGTCTCCTAAGGTGTGAGCCACCATACCAGCTGAGACTCTGTCTTTGAAGAAATAAAAATAAAAAAGAGGGATTCAAGGGATGCAGCGGGGATTTAGCTTGGTTAGCACAATGCTTGTCTCACTTGCACAAAGCCCTGGGCTCCACCCCCAGCCCCACCTAAACTGCGTGTGGTGGCCTCCACACGTCGGGGTGGGGAACCAGGATTGAACCAGTCAAGCTTCCTGATAACACGTGAATGTGAGTCTCTCCCTCAGGCTTGGTTGCTCCCTGCTAAGGCCATAGACTGACTCCAGGACCTGGGCTCCTCATTGGGCAGGGGATGAGAGCTATCAGGCCAGACGAGTGGGATAGGGCACCAGGATAGGGTGGAGGATAGGAGAACAAGATGGAAAAGGATTGGGAACTCGGGAGCATCATGTCCTGGCATGTTCCCAGCTTCTCAGGTCCCAGCTTGGGGAGTCACTGCCTGTTGACTCACAGGCGGTCAGGGGTTCTCATTCTACTGAGAGTTGAGCGCCCACAGTGTGAGGCTGGCATCAGGAGCTCAGTCTCTGGGAACCACCGCTGCTGCAGTCTGCTGCGAATGACTGTCCTGTCTGACCCACAGCCACTTCTGAGTGGATCCAGTTCTTCAAGGAAGCTGGCATTCCCCCAGGACCTGCTGTCAATTATGCTGTGATGTTTGTGGATAATCGGTGAGGAGACTGCTGGGACTGGGAAACGGGGTAGGAGGAGGTAGGAGCTTGCTGGGCGGGACCTCATCACTGTCCTCCCCTGTAGGATCCAGAAGAGCATGCTGCTAGATCTCAATAAGGAAATCATGAACGAGCTGGGCGTGACTGTAGTGGGTGACATCATTGCCATCCTCAAGCATGCCAAGGTGGTACACCGCCAGGTAGGTGCTCTTCTGTGCCTCTTACTTCCTGGGGAAAGTGTGAGACTGGAGGCGGCTGTTGTGGGGCCCGGTAGGAGGCCTGGCGGCAAAGGAATGTGCAGTGTTCAGAGGTAGGTTCAGCTCTTTGCTGTGTGACATCGGGCATGTTGCCTGACTTCGCTGAGCCTTGTTTTCTCTGTCTTTCATATGCAGTGAGGCAAAATTAATTTTGTGTTTCTTTTTCCATTTTTCACGTGTGTGATATATACACATGGGCACATATGGATTGTGGATGTTCATATGTGTATGTGTGCATGTAGAGGCCTGAGGTTGATAAAGGGAATTATCCTCAATCACTTTTCCGCTTTATTCAGTGAGGCAAGGTCTCTCAGTCAAACCCAGAGCTTGCTGATATGGCTGCCAGGTGCCTTGCCCCTCACAGTAACTTGTAGAGACAGGCCTCCAACCATGCCTCATCCTGGACCCTGCAAAGAGGACCTCCTCAAGCAAGAGGCATCAACTCAGTCGGAGAGGCAGCGAGCAAGACATTGTATTTCTTTAAATTTTAGATTGAGAATTAAAATATATATATATATATATATATATATATATATATATATTGAATAGATGTGCGTGTGATGGATGTGTGGGCATATATGTTTGGTAGTCAGAAGACAACGCTGGAGTGGGTTCTCTCCATCATTTGAGTCCCAAGGATTAACTTAAGTCATGAGGTGACATCAAGTGTCTTTACCTGCTGGGCTATCTAGCCAACCCAGGGTTGTAGCTGGCTTTCTTTTCTGCCACCAACCACCTCCTGAATCATGACATGGAGACTTACTAGTTATGAGTGCTCAGCTTTATCTTGTGCTTGTCCCACTAGCTCTTATAACTTAACTGTTTTTCTAAATCTGTGTTTTGCCTCAGGGCTTTCTACCTGTTTTTCATTCTGTACGTCCTACTTCATATCTGGCTGGTAGCTGCCTCCCTGGCTGGCCCCGGGCATCTCTCTCTCTTTCTCCCTTGTTCTCTCTTCTCTGCTCTCACACCTAGATTTCTCCCCCTCCTTATTCTCTCTGTCCACTAGCCTTGCCATCACTCTGCTGCCTACCTTTTGGCCATTTAGCTTTTTATTAGGTCAGTCAGATACCTTAGGCAAGCAAAGTAAAACAGCAACACATCTTCATAGTTATGCAAGTATAGCATAAACAAATGACACATCTTTGTCTAGTTGAATAAACATCCCACAGCACAGGGTACTTTCTTTTTGCCCAGAGCATAGTGTAGAGTTGGAGAGATGGCTCAGAGGTTAAGATTGCTCGCTGCTCTTCCAGAGAACCCAAGTTCAGTTCTTAGCACTAATGTTAGCAAGCTCACAACTGCTTATAACTGCACTTCCGGGGATCCCATACCCGTGGCCTCTGCAAACACCTGTACTCATGTACACCATATACACACACGCTTAAAACTAAAAATGGATTCAAGAACACCACCAGAGCAGAACAGACAGAACAGCTTTTTTTATTTTTTAATTATTTTTTTTAAGATAGGGTTTCTTTGTGTGGCCTTGGCTCTCCTGACACTAGCTCTATAGCCCAGACTGGCCTCAAATTCACAGGGATCCGCCTGCCTCTGCCCTCTGAGTGCTGGGATTAAAGGTGTGCACCACCACCGCCCGCCTGGCAGAACAGCTTTTAAGGTCTACACCGGTTGTGTTCTGACCCTCTGGGTGCTGCTTGGTTCTCTAGGTCCCCTGTTCTGGGCTAACCTGCTACCTCTCATTTCCAGGACATGTGCAAAGCTGCCACTGAATCAGTGCCCTGCAGCCCCAGCCCCCTCCAGGGTGAGCTTCGCCGCGGTGCCGCTAGCGGTGAGTTGTGTCTGTTCAGTCTCTTCCTGTACATACAGAGGTAGAATCAAAGCCATTGATGCCCCCTGTAAGGGACCAAACAAGCTAGGCAGGGAGTGACTGTTTGAGTAAGCCCCTTTGAGACAGAGAGAGAGAGAGAGAGAGAGAGAGAGAGAGAGAGAGAGCGCGAGAGCGCTCACAAGACAAAGTGTCTGAGAAAGTTTAGAGGACATATTGTGTGTTAGTTCTCTCCTTCTACCATGTAGATCTTGATGCTCAAACTTGGGTCATTAGGCTTGGCTATAAGCACCTGTTCCTTTGAAGTCATCTTTCTGACTTTTTTCTGGCCCCCAATCCCTTTCCTTTTTAAAAAACCAAAGGTTTATATAGCTGACACTGTCCTGCCTTAGCCTCTTGCTTCTGAGATCATCACAATGGATGTATTTCCTTTGGTAGTGCTGGGCGTGCAGTCTAGAGCCTGTGCAAGCTTGTCAGACTGATCGTGCACGCTGCTGTTCCTTCCACTCAGCTACACCTCTGTCCATATTCCCTACCTTATATATTCTCAGTCCATATTCCCCACCTTATATATTCCCAGTCCATATTCCCTACCTTATATATTCTCAGTCCATATTCCCCACCTTATATATTCTCAGTCCATATTCCCTACCTTATATATTCTCAGTCCATATTTCCCACCTTATATATTCCCAGTCCATATTCCCTACCTTATATATTCTCAGTCCATATTCCCTACCTTATATATTCTCAGTCCATATTCCCTACCTTATATATTCTCAGTCCATATTCCCTACCTTATATATTCCCAGTCCATATTCCCTACCTTATATATTCTCAGTCCATATTCCCTACCTTATATATTCTCAGTCCATATTCCCCACCTTATATATTCTCAGTCCATATTCCCTACCTTATATATTCCCAGTCCATATTCCCTACCTTATATATTCCCAGTCCATATTCCCTACCTTATATATTCTCAGTCCATATTCCCTACCTTATATATTCTCAGTCCATATTCCCCACCTTATATATTCTCAGTCCATATTCCCCACCTTATATATTCTCAGTCCATATTCCCCACCTTATAAATTCTCAGTCCATATTCCCCACCTTATATATTCTCAGTCCATATTCCCCACCTTATATATTCCTTTGTCCTAATTTGCTTGGTGTTTGTTGTTGTTTGGCTTGTTTGTTTGTTTTTCAGAACTTACTATGTAGACCAGGCTAGCCTTGAACTTAGAGATTCACCTGCCTCTGCCTCCCAAGTGCTGGGATTCTAGGCAAGCACCTTCACTTTCCCCACCAGGTAATAAAGTATGACTAGAAGCAACTTGGGGAGGAAAGAGTTTGTGCAGCTTACATGTCCTGACCAAGACCTGCAGGCAGAGGCCACGGAGGAATCGCTGCTCCTCGACTGCTCTCCAGGCTGCATGCACCTATCTTCTCTTTTTTCTTTCTTGAAATAGTGTCTCACTGTGTAGCCTGGTTGGTCTTGAACTCATAGAGATCTGTTTGTCTCAGCCTTCTGAGTACTGGGATTAATTAATAGACATTGTTCCACTATCAAGTTTACACATTCCAGGACCAACCACATGCCAGGAATGGCACTGCCTATAGTGAGGTAGGCTTTCCCACACCAGTTATCAATCAAAAAACTGTCCCCACAAGCTTGTCTATAGGCCAGTTCGATGGAGACATTTTTACCTCTTCCCTGGTGCTTCTAGTTTGTATGAAGTTGACAAAAAAGCTAATTAACCATGCTTATAAAAAATGTGTTTATTATTTACATTTATTTATTCAGTGTTTGCATGTCTGGGGAGTATTTGTGTGCCATGACAGAAGTGGTGGCTAACGGACCCTTAGTTGTTCTCCTCTTCCACCATGTGGGTTCTAGGCATCAGGACCTTTACCCATGTTACTGCCCTTATTCACTGAGCCGTCTCAGTGGCCCCCATGTTCCTTTTTCAGGACACCTTGTTTACTATAATCCGTTGAGTCATTTGCTGAGCTCACAGCCAGCACCACCGTGACTCATTCCAGAACAAAGCTTGTGAGCCACACATGTTCCCATGAAGCACATCGTGGCCTTACAGTGTGCTGGGTGTTATTTAAAGCTATGCAGTCCCCAAGCAAAAACAAAAAAGAGACTGACCAGTTTTTACATTCCTAGCAGTAAGTAGACCATGGAAAGACACTTAGGGGAGCTGACACCAGAAGGCCACAGGGTCTGTTGGACCCAGGCTGGGAACATGTACTGGTGCTGGTGCAAATCTGTGAACAGCTACGGGAGTGCCAGGTGTGTTGGTGCAGGGGTTGTAGGGAATCGCAGTGAGCAGATGAGTGCACACAGACTGAAGACCTGGGCGACAGACAGACAGACAGACAGCGCTGGGCTAGAACTCACCTGGCACAGTGCTCACCTAGCATACATGAGACCTTGGGCTCATCCCCAGCTCCAAACAACCCAGGCACTGTGGTACACGCCTCTAATCTCAGCACTCGAAAGTGGTAGCAAGAGGTTTATCATTTAAAGTAGGGGGTTGGGGAGATGACTCCGTAATTAAGAACACTTAATGCTCTTCCAGAGGACTTGAGTTCAATTCCTAGCACCTACATCAAGTAGTTCACAAATGCCTGTAACTCCAGCACCAGGGATCTGACACCCTCTTCAGGCCTCCAAAGAAACCTGTATGAACATGGCTCTCTTTCTCTCTTACACACACCTAAATAAAAAATAAAGTTTAAAAGTAAAAAAGAAATTCAAAGTAATGAGTTTGAAGCCAGCCAAGGATACATGAGATCCTATCTCAGAAAAGAAGAAAAGAAAAAAAAAAGGTGGGGGGGGGGCTTGCAAAAGGTTCTTGCTATGCAAACCTGGCAACCTGAGTTGTCTAGAACCTGTGAAAATCAAAAGGAAAGAACTGACAGAAAACTTGTCCTTTGACTTCCACATCTGTTCTGTAGGGCTTGAGCCCCGGCTTCCCCCCAATAGAAATTACCAAGAAGCTGTACACTTAATCCCAGAACTCAGGAGGCAGAAGCAGGTGGATCTCTTGATTTTGAGGAGTTTAATCCCAGCATGTGGAGGCAGATCTCTGAGTTTTAGGCTCTCTTGATCTATGTAGAGAGGTCTGGGCCAGGCAGGGGTGCACAATGAGATTCTGTTTCAAGATAAAACAATGTGTGTGTGTGTGCGCGCGCGCGTATGCACTCGTCCTGGGATATATATATATATATATCCTCAGCTCTCAAGTAAAGATGGCTGCTGTGGTGCACATCTGTAATCCCAGGTGAGATGGGAGGTGGAGACAGGAGAGTTCCAGGATGCTCACAGGCAGTTGGCCAGGTGTATGTAGTCATAGACATTTACTTCTCCGTTTATGAGTTTGCTGGCCATTGTGCTCGGATCCAGCTCACAGGTCTCTGCAGGTCTGACATCTAGGTTGAGGGATGGCTTCATCTACACATCTCATTACTGGCTTGATGTCAGCTGGAGTAACAGAGGTGACTTGGCACCTTCCATCATGCAGCAAGCTAGCCTAGTTGTGTTCCTAAAAACAGCCTCAGAAGGCAGGCCCCAGCACTAGGACCTAGGGAGTCTCCGCTGTTGTGACACTGCTCTTGTACCATTGGACAAAGCAGAGTCACAAGGCTGTAGGTAGAGTCAGTGGCAGGGCACACCCAAAGGTGTTGGTGTAGGGAGGATGTAGAAATGAGACTTCATATCTCTAATAAGCCCACATCACATATACAGAAAAGGTTTGGTCATAATGGCTTTGCTGGCTGGGGTGTAACTCAGCTCTAGAGTGTCTGCTTAGCTTTTGAGGCCCTGTGTTCTAGCCTCGGCACTAACTCATTAAAAGCTCCTGAATAGCATTCAGTATAAAATAGCCGATAGCCAGCATCCCAAGCAGAGACAAGCATGGCTCTCCTAGGGCAACCACCTTCCTGGCCACCAGGAGTATAGATGAGTTTTGCCCATCTTTAAAGGGTCTGCCCATAACATTTTCTGGGTGCATTTTTTTCTTCTCCCTCTCCCTCCCTCCCTTCTCTCCTCCCCCTCCATACCTCTTTCCCTCCCTCCATCTATCCCTTCCTCCCTTCCTTCTAAGACAAGGACTCACTATATAGATACAGCCCTGACTGGCTTGGACTGCATGTAGGCCAAGTTAGCCCTGAATTTACAGAGATCCACCTGCCTCTGCCTCCCAAATTCTGGGATTAAAGGCGTGTTCCATCATGCCTGGCCTAAACGCCTTTTATAATCTCAAGTAACACAAAAATGAAACCAAAGCTGTACATGATGGCTCGTGTATAATCCCAACACTCGGGAGGCGAAGGCAGGAAGATTGCCTAGGTTATGTTGTGAGTTGCAGGCCAGCCCAGAGTGAGACAAAGTCTTTTTTGTTTGTTTGTTTTTGTTTTGAGACAGGGTTTCTCTGTAGCTTTTTTTTTTTTTAAGATTTATTTACTTATTATGTGTACAGTATTCTGTCTGCATGTATGCCTGCACATCCGAAGAAAGCATCAGATCTCATTACAGATGGTTGTGAGCCACCATGTGGTTGCTTGGAATTGAACTCAGGAACTCTTTTTTTGTTTGTTTGTTTTTTCGAGACAGGGTTTCTCTGTGGCTTTGGAGCCTGTCCTGGAACTAGCTCTGTAGACCAGGCTGGTCTCGAACTCACAGAGATCCGCCTGCCTCTGCCTCCCGAGTGCTGGGATTAAAGGCGTGTGCCACCTTCGCCCGCCCGCAGGAACTCTTGATGAACAGTCAGTGCTCTAAACCTCTGAGCTATCTCTCCAGCCCTCTCTGTAGCTTTGAGCCTGTTCTGGAACTCACTTTGTAGACCAGGCTGGCCTTGAACTCACAGAGATCCACCTGGGATTAAAGTGTGCAACACACAACTCCACCACTTGGCTGAGACAAGTCTTTATAAAGAAAAATCCTGTCAAGGGGCTGGAGAGATGACTCGGTGGTTAAGAGCCCTGGCTGCTCTTCCAGAGGTCCTGAGTTCAATTCCCAGCAACCACATGGTGGCTCACAACCATCTGTAATGAGATCTGGTGCCCTCTTCTGGCATTCAGGCATACATGGAGGCAGAATGTTGTATACATAATAAATAAAATCTTTAAAAAAAAAAGAAAAGAAAAGAAAAATCCTGTCAAGTGATAAGGACTGGGGGGATGGAGAGATGGCTCAATGGTTAAGACCAGAGGACCTAGGTTCAATTTCCAGCACCCACATGGCAGCTTACAACAATCTGTACTGCAAGATCTGACACCCTCTCAAAGACATACATACATACAGGTAAAACATCAATGCACTTAAAATAAAAATAAACTGAGAACTGTGGAACAAAGCATGTCATGGGTCAGGTAGCAGAAGCTAAAGGTGGTCCTGGTGACGTAGGATGTTAGAGGAGTTTTCTCTGAGGAGTAGACATGATAAGCTGGTGCCTGGGAATATGAAGATACCGAAGATACCTTCCAGGTTCCTGTTCATCCTTTACATCATGAGGATGGAGCAGTCACAAGGTGACTGCCGCTGCTTCTTCCTGATTCAATCTAGTGCTTTCCCTTGGCAGCCAGGCTCCAACGCTGTTGGGTTGAGAACTCACTCCTAGACTGGTCTTCAGAATTCTCACCGCCATTTTCCAGTCCCCTCTCCGGGTACCCACATCACGACTGGACTCACTTCTTTCCTCCCACAGCTGCTTCTCGAATGATCACCAACAGCCTGAACCATGACTCTCCACCCCACACTCCGCCAAGGCGCTCGGACACCAGCAGCTCCAAGATCTCCGTCACCGTGTCCAACAAGATGGCAGCGAAGAGTGCCAAGGCTGCCGGTGAGGGCTCTTGGGCAGAATTGCAGGGGGATATGGGTGAGCAGGTGTGCTTGCATGAGAGAGAGAGAGAGAGAGAGAGAGAGAGAGAGAGAGAGAGAGAGAGATTCAGAGACCACCCAAGGGTCATTGACCTCTGTGAACTTGATCAAGTCTTGTTTTTCTCTCTCTTTTTTTAATTGAATGTATTCATTTACATTACATCTCCTCCCCCTATTCCCTCCTCTGTTTCTGTTCAGAAAGGGGCAGGCCTCCCGTGGGTGTCAACAAAGAGTGGCTTATCGAGTTGCTGTAAGACCAAGCTCCTCCCCTTGTATTAAGGCTGGGCAAGGCAACCCAGTGTGAGGAATAGGTTCCCAGAAGCTAGCCAAAGTGTTGGGGACAGCCCCTGCTCCCACTGCTCCACAAGGAGACCTCTTTGTTTGTTTTAACTTAAAGATTTATTTTTTAAATTATGTGTATGTCTGTGGTTGTGTGCTTGTGTGTACAGGTATCCATGGAAGCCAGAGAGTGGTTTTCCTGAAGCTGAAGTTATAGGCCGTTATGAACTGTCTGATGTGGTTGCTGGGATCTGAACTTGGGCCCTCTGCAAAAGCAGTCCTTGATCTGATGCACTGAGCCATATCTCTAGCTCCCTGTTACTGTTTCTAGAGGGTAGTGGTGATGTCTTGATTTCAAGGAAAGTGAGAAGCTCTCCAAGATAGACTAGAGACCTGGCTTTTCCACTTCTTAGTAACTGAGGCTGGCCTTGAAATTGTTATATAGCCAGGAGGACTTTGAACTCCTGTTCCTCCCGCCTCCCATGTGAATATTCAAACCTCAAGCATGGATCACCACACCTTTTTATGCAGTGCTAGGGGATCGAACCCAGGGCTTCTGTGCACGCTAGGCAAGCCACGCCCCAGCCCTCATCACTTCTTGCCTGCTGTCTTCCAGCTCTTGCCTGTGACCTTCAACCTGCAGCGTGCTTCTGCTTGAGTTTTTCTGACTACCCTCTGTCCAGGGCTTCAAGCTGGTAGTGGGACTCAGCCTTTGGCCTCTCGAACTTTGCTGCTCTCTGCCGTGTTCTTGGCCCTTTGTTGCACCCATTCCCATTTCCTAGTGTCATAAGGCACCTGTGGAAACTGAGGCCCAGGGAAAGGACTTCACTTTTCAGCTGCCCAGTAGTTCTCATCACACGCTATCTGTTGCCACTGTGCTGGCTTTGTCTTTGCCGTGTGTGTGTGTGTGTGTGTGTGTGTGTGTGTGTGTAAGCACCTTCAACTAGAAGGTAAAATTAGTTGCTGGTTGTAGTGGCTCACACCTATAATACCAACATTTGGGAGGGTGGAGGCAAGAGGATTGCTGTGAGTTTGCATCCAGGCTAGGCTACAAGCTCAAGTTTTTGTCTCATAAAAAGAAAAAAGATTCTGGGACTAGACTGTAGCTAAGTGGTAGAGTACTTGCCTAGCATACACAAAACCCTGGATTCAATCCCCAGCATCACAAATAATCTGTAAATAAAAGTAAGTAAGGGCCAGGTAGTAGTGGCGCACGCCTTTAATCCCAGCACTCTGGAGGCAGAGGCAGATGGATCTCTGAGTTCGAGGCCAGCCACGTCTACAGAGCGAGTTCTAGGATGGCCAGGGCTACACAGGTAGATCCTGTTTTGAGAAACAAACAAACAAAAAGTAAATGTGAAAATCTAGATATGGTGGCATACACCTCTAAGTCAAGCATTCAGAAAGCAGAGGCAGGGATCATTTCAAATTCAGGTTTGGTTTGTTTTATATAGAGTTCCAGGCTAGAGTTACAACTGACCAAAAAGGAAAAACAGAAAGTTAAAAGTAGTTAATACAATGCTGAGACAGTGGTGGCACATCCCCCTCCTGACACTGTGAAAGGAATTCGTTTTTGTATTTGAAGTATAAAGTGTGTTAGAACATGCTGGAGTGGAGAAACTGAGGTAGGAGGATTACAAGTCCCAGACCAGTGTGGGCTACATTGTGAAACCCTGGCTTTGCAACAGAAAAGAAGTATAACTTCGGGTTGGTGACACAGTTCAATCCCTGGGACCAACACAGTAAAGGGTCTCTCCACATGTGTGCACACACACATTATGATTCTTTCCTTGTTTTATTTGGTATGGATGTTTTGTCTGCAGTGTATCTGTGCATCACATGAATGCCTAGTGCCAACAGAAGCCACAGAGGGCATCTGGTCCCCTGGAACTGTAGTTACAGATGGTTGTGAGCTGCCGTGTGGGTGCTGGGAATTAATCCTAGGTCCTTTGGAAAACCAGCAAATATTCTTTAACCACTCAACCATCTCTCCAGCCCCAACATATAGATTTCAAAGTATAATTAATTCTACATAATCCTTGAACAGTAAGTATGGACCTTGTGCTTGTTGAAAAGTGAAAGCACAAAACAAATCGGCAGAAGGCACAAGCACACAGCTCTGAAGGCAGCACCGCGGGGTCTGACGATCCCCATCCCAGTGGGTCCTGTAGTCTACAGCGTCTGGGAAGCCACTGCCACTTGCAAATCCCAGGCACATCTGTGGTTTAGCCACACCAGATGACTGATGTCCTCCGTGACTCAGTCTGGTGATGGGGGCAGCTGTGCACATGAACCATCCCGTCTCACAAGTAAGGAGATGAAAGACACTGGTCTGCAGCTGGGCATTATCGTGCATGGCTAAAGCCCCTCCAGGGCTAAAGCAGCAGGATTGTCAGTGGAGGCCAGCCTGAGCTACAGATTGTCTTGTCTATAGCTAGGTTCCCCCCACACCCTCCAGAACATCTATCCCTGAAGGAGCTAACCCCATGTCTCCTCACCAGCTCTGGCCCTCAGGGAGGAGGAGAGCCTGGTTGTTCCTACCAAGAGGCGGCGGGTGACAGCCGAGATGGAGGGAAAGTACATCATCCACATGCCCAAGGGGACCACCCCCCGTACACGCAAGATCCTGGAGCAGCAGCAGGCAGCGAAAGGTACAGGCTGTGTGGGCTGCAGATGGGGCTCTCTTAGCTTGTTGCCTGGTGATGGTCTTCCCAGTAGGTGGGGCTCAGAGGGGAGCAGGTAACAGGGCCTTTGGCTAAGGGGACAGTGACCACAGAGGAAGAGACTCTGCTGTCATCCTGCCATTCATGAAGCTGGACTCCTCATGTCTTGTCCCTGGAAGGCAAGGACAAAAAGACAGTTAGGGCTGGCCTGGGAAGCAAGTGACCATACCTGGTTAAGGGTAGGTCTGTAGTGGACACCAGCACTGTGAGGCAAAGCAGGAGCTCATCTCCTGGAAGAATTCTAGATGGTGCATGTCCTCTTCCTGGGTCCCATACCCATGGTGTTGTCCCTCTCTAGAGTAGGATGTATGGGTCTGCCTGTATCACTGCAACTATGCCCCTAGAGAGGCTCTGTTCCGTTTCCTTCACTTTATTTATATTTACTTAGTCATTTATTTTGTGTTTTTTTCCAGATAGGGTTTCTTTGTGTAGCCCTGGTTATCCTGGAATTAGCTCTGTTGACCAGACTGGCCTCAAACTCAGATATTCACCTGCCTCTGCTTCCTGAGTGCTGGGATTAAAGGCGTGTGCCACCATCACCTGAGCTGGTGGTTTATTCTTTTTAAATGATTGTTTGTTTCCATAGTATTTTGGGCTATGACTCAGGAACGCTGTGTTGGTGGAATGTAGGGATTATTTATTTATCTATTTATTTATTCATTTTGAGATAAGATTTCTTAGTGTAGCTCTGACTGTGTGTAGACCAAGCGTGTGGCTTTGAACACAGAGTGCCCACCCATCTCTGCCTCCAGAGTACTGGGATTAATAGCGTGTGCCACCACTGTGCTGCTGAGATGTAGGTTTTATTTAATAGAGTACTCAACACCATTCATCACGTTCTGCCAGTTACCCACAATTGCCAGCATAAAAGGAACAAGTGGAGGTTAAGAACTCTTTACCCAAAAGCTGGGTGTGGTGCCACCTAGCTATAATTCTAGCTTTTGGAGGTATAGGTAGGAGAATCAGGAGTTCAGGGCCAGCCTCAGTTACATAGTTCAATGTTAGCTTAGGCTCCATAAGACCCATTCTCAAAGAAACACTTCCTTCCACATCAGCTTAGACAGAGGCATAGTGATTTCAGGTATCAATCTTCATTGATTGTTTTAGTTAGGGTTATTATTGCTATGACGGAGCACCATGATCAGAAACAGGTTGGGGTCTTAGAATTCGGGAGAAAAAAAAAAGAAAAAAAAAAAACAGATTGGGGAGGAAAGGTTTATTTGGCTTACATTTCCACATCACTGGAGGAAGTCAGGACAGGAACTCAAGCAGGACAGGAACCTGGAAGCGGGAACTGATGCAGAGGCCATGGAGGGGTGCTGCTTACTATCTTGCTTCCCATGACTTGCTCAGCCTTCTCTTGTAGACCTGATCAATCACTAAGAAAATGCCCTTCAGGCTAGCTACAGCCCATCTTACGGGGACATTTTCATAATCAAAGTTCCCTAGTCTTTGATGACTGTGGCTTGGGTCAAGTTAGCCAGTTCATTGATCTTTCCCAGATTTGACACTTGTGAGTTTGTGTGAAGGTCAACCTGAGCCTCCAGTGTAGTTGCAGAGCCTGAGCCAAGCATGGTCTGTCCCTGCTAGGTCTTCCCACCTTGGCGTCTGCTCTGTGGGCAGCCTAGACATGGTCCCATGGAACCACTAGGCAGGTACTGCCTCATGGTGCCACTTTTCTCCCAGGTCTCCATAGAACATCCGTGTTCGATCGCCTTGGTGCTGAGACCAAAGTAGACACTACGACAGGGACTAAGGTGAGTCTGGTGTGCTGGGATGACTCACGTGACCCAGTGTCGGTCCTGTCAGTGTGCTGCTTGACTCCGTGTCTGTGTCCCAGGTGTCTGCATTCTCTTCCCACGTTTGAACCCACATTTTCTCTTTGGCTGTGGTGGACTTCCTGTGTGCCCTGTCTTTCCTCCGCTGATCTGTAGGCCAGCCCCAGTTTATTTGGCTGCTAGATTTCTTTCTTCTACCCCCAGGTCCCAGCTAGTCTCAGGATCTTCTACTGTAGCTACTTCTATCTGAGCTTCCAACTCAGCATGCCTGCCATCTGCATCTAGTCAGCTGAATGCATTCCAAGTCAGATGACCTCATCTGTCCATGTCTGCCACCTTGGCCTGCCTGGGTAGATAGGGTCCCACACTTCTGCCATTAGCCCGCTAGCCTTGTCCTCACAGTTACAGCCATGCTGCCATACGAAGAGGGAGTTTAACTTTTTTGTGAGTCTCATATAGCTCAGAGTGCTCTGACACTGTGTAGCCAAGAATGACTTTGAACTCCTGCCTCTGCTTCCCAAGAGTTCAAATGACAGGCATGTGCTGCCACACCTGGCTTCTTTAGGACTGGATGTTTTTTGTTAGTCTCTCCTGTAGCCTAGGCTGGGCTAGAACTCATGATCATTCTCCTTCAGCTTCATGAGTACTGAGATCACAGACTAGCACTTGTACTTCCAAGGTTTTTTTGTTTGTTTTTCTCTCAAGACTGGGTTTCTCTGTAGCTTTGGTGCCTGTCCTGGAACTAGCTCTTGTAGACCAGGTTGTCCTCCAACTCACAGAGATCTGCCTGCCTCTGCTCCTCTAGTGCTGGGATTAAAGGTGTGCACCACCACCGCCTGGCTGTTTTTGTTTTTTTTAACTGCCTACAACACTGAACAAAGCCTATTCTTATTGCTGTAACCAGCAGTTCCCTAGGCTCTGGGAATGGTGTGTAATACCATTCGAGCTCACATTCACTGTGTGTATGGCCATTTGTACCTCAGTTCCTAAATCTATAGTGTCAGTTCACAGGGCGGCTGTGGGTGTCAGCAGGGGCTGGGACACAGGACATGGCAAACGCTCCTTAGGTATCAGAGTGGATGCTGTGGCTTTCACTGAGTCTCATGCTCACCATGGGAGAACTACCTCCCTGAATCTTACCATGATGGTGATGGTAACACAGGCCCATAGAACTGGTCCAGCCATTTGAGGTTTTAGTGAGTGCTCAGAAAGTGTGATTGTCACTTCTGCCTTAGGAACCAAGTGTATACTTTTTGCTCTGCTTGCTCATCTTGAAGAGCCTGCAATTCCTGGCATCTCTGAGAAGACCTGATTGTGCCTGATTTGCAGCATGCTACTCCCCTTCAAATGCTGGCAGTGACAGTCCACGTCCGTCATCCCAGCACTCAGGAGACTGAGGCAGGGGGATCTCAAGTTTGAGACCATGGGCTATGTAGTAACCCCTGTCACAAAAAGTAAAGAAAAAGAAAATTCATGAAGACATGCTGTCCTTCATAGCACATGACTGACTGTTGAACTTGTAGAATCAGTGGAGTTATTTCTGATGCTGCCTACTCCACTGCACTATGACTCCAGGAGGGGCTGGCCAGGGTTGTCCTGACCAGCACAGTATCCTCAACACTGTTCACCCTAGGCCAAGGTACAGTGTCTGCTAAGTAAATGACCCTGTAAGGGGCTGGGGTGTGGTTCAGTGGTAGAGAATGTCCCAGCAATGTCTTGGGGCCCTGAATTCTATCTGAGGCATGACACAGTTAACAGCTAAAATGGCTGGAGAATGTTTGAGTGCTCACCCTGCCCTTGGCAGGGCCCTCCTGTTTCTCTCTGTCTTTTTTTTTTTATTTTTTATTTTTTATTTATTTATTATGTATACAATATTCTGTCTGTGTGTATGCCTGCAGGCCGGAAGACGGCACCAGACCCCTTTACAGATGGTTGTGAGCCACCATGTGGTCGCTGGGAATTGAACTCAGGACCTCTGGAAGAGCAGGCAATGCTCTTAACCACTGAGCCATCTCTCCAGCCCCCTCTCTGTCTCTACTGAGTCCCTGCCATTCAGCTTTCAGAGCTCCAGTGGCCTGTGCTCTTTCCTAAGGAACCTTCCCTGGGCTTCCTAGCTTCTGGTCCCCTCATGACGCTTCCCCTCACATAGGATGGCACTGCCCTGCACGCCGACTTCTTAGAGGCCAGCATAGCGTAGGCAGCCTGCCGAGTGACTAAGTGGCCCACTGCCTCTCCTCTCACTCTACAGCCCACAGGAGTTTTCAGCCGCTTAGGGGCCACCCCGGAGATGGATGAGGATTTGGCCTGGGACAGTGACAATGACAGCAGCAGCTCTGTCCTGCAGTATGCTGGGGTCCTAAAGAAGCCAGGACGGGGCCCCACCAAGGCCAGTCCCCAGCCAGCACTGACTGTCAAAGCCAAAGCTACAAGCTCTGCAACCACAACAGCTCCAAGACTGCGGCGCCTGGCGCTTCCCTCTCGTCCTGGACCAGAGAAGAAGCCAGAGTCCCTGCCCAAAGTCAGTGTCCTTCAGAGACTGGGCAAGACTGCTGTTGTGGCTGAGGCCCAGGACAGCCAGGTTACAAGCACCAAGAGTAAGTCCTCAGCTGAGGTCAAGTTCGCCATTAAGAGGACACTGGTAGGGCCCCGGGGGAGCAGCTCTATTGAGAGCCTTGGTGCCCAGATGGACCATGCAGGCGCTGTGAGCGTGTTCAAAAGACTGGGCCGAAGGACCTTCTAGCTGGCACGCAGGGTGGGGTGCAGCATGCAATGGCAGGCAGGTTCCTGCTTCTGTCCCTTCCAGCCTTCCTGCTCTTCCCAGCTCTAGATGACACAAAGCCTGGCTCTTTCCAGCATTCATGCTGGTTCCAAGCACTTGGGTACACAGGCATTTCCCCTGGTTTTGGATGTTCCTGTGGCCTGACCTTGCCTGCTCTGGGACCCTCCCTTTCTGTGTCGTCGTGTCGTCCCCCCCCCCCCCCCGTGCACTAGCCGTGGCCTTGGCAGATTCTCCTTTTCTACCTCTCCCCAAAGCCAAGTGCCCTGCCCCTTCCATGCAGCCCACCCCCACCAGCAGCTTCTGCTGCCTTATGTCTTCCTGTCCTGGCTACCCCACCAGAGGTGTCACCTGGAGGCACCCCCTTTGCCCTACCCTGTGGCTTCCCTTCCTCCCCCCTTCCCCCTGCTGTAGTGTCTCTCTTCTCTTCACTCTTTTCATTTCTCTTCTGTTTTCTGTCCCTGTGGCAAGGCCCGACCGTCCGCTGCATCCTGCCTGACCCTCCTGCACCTCTGACCTCCCAGCGGCCCCCTCGTCGACGGTGGCGTCGAACCTGTAAAGACTGTTAGCTGCCTTCCATTCCCAGGCTGGAGGGAGGCCCCCCATCCTGGCCTGCAGCTGGGGCACCTCCGTTTCCCTGCCCTGGCCATCTTTTTCCTTGGTGGGTGGTGGGCAGCAGACACTGGGGAGGGGAGGGGTGCTGGGGGAAGGTGACAGCTGTTTTAATATATTTTTGTGACTTCTAAACTGTCCTTCCCCCTCCTTCAGTGGGAGTTGCAGGTCTGTTCTTCACACCTCACCAACACAGCCAACACCCTGGGGTGGGGCAGGTGAAGGGCATAGTGGTGACAACACCAGAAAGCCATCTCCTCCCATCCAAGTGGAGTGGTCTTTCACTGGCTTCTCCATCAATTTCACCTGTTCTGCCACACTGCCTGTGGGTGGCTTGGTTTTATTTGAGATAGGATCTCATTATATAGCCCTGGCTTACCTGGAACTTGCTATGTAGATCAGGTTGGCCTCAAATTCTCAAGAGACCTGCCTGTCTGCAAGTGCTGGGATTAAAGGCTTTTGCCCTCATACCCAGCCGGATTTCTTTCCTTTTTCTTTCTTTTTTCTTTGAAACTCAAGATGGCCCAAACTTGATATATAGTTGAAGAAGACTTGGAATGTCTCTCTTTTAAAAACATAATTATTTTGTGTATATAGATATGTTGCCTCTGTGTGTGTATCAGGCACATGAGTGCCTGATGATTCCCATGGAGACTGGAAGAAGATTTTGGGTCCCCTGGAAATGGAGTTAAGGATGGTTGTGAGCCCCTATATGGTCTCTGGCAACCAAACTTAAGTCCCTGTAATAGCAACAAATGCTCTTAACCACTGAGCCATGTCTTCTACCCCTGCTTTGAGTTTCTAATTTTCTACTCTCTACTTTGAGACTTGTGACAGCTAGGCCTATGCTGCCATTCCAGGGTTGTGTGTGGTGCAGGAGACTAGGCCCAGGCTTTACATTGATACTCTTGTTGGCCTTTTTCTCTCTGCTTTCTTTTTGAGACAGTGTGTTACTCTGTAGCACAGGTTGACTTCAAACTCAGGATTCCCTTGCCTCTACTGGACTGAAGCAATTTACAGGCATGGGCCAACTACTAACAGCCTCTCAGCTGTCCTGAGGTGGTGCTGCGCAAAGACACAGGGCCGAGGGATGAGGCTTGGCCAGTACCACTGTCGTTGTATAGTCAGAAGATTTTGACGTGACACCATTGGGTGAACTGGGGATAAGAAGAGGTAATTTTTCAAACTTCAGAAGAACGTTCTGACAGAAAGACAGACAAAGGCAAAGGCCTTGAGGTGGGGCAATGACCAGGAAGATGGCTGGCCATGAGAACTGCATGGCTGCTAGTGGCAGCGATGGAGAACGAATGGGAAGAACAGGGTGGGGAACAGTTCTAATTCACTGTGTAGAGGCACCTGGTAGAGTGGGTATGTGTATAATTCCAGCTTCCGGGAGACTGAGGCTTGAGGCAGAGGCAGGGGGCGGATCTCTGTGAGTTCAAGACCAGCCTGATATACAGAGCAATATTTCCAGGACAGCCAGGACTACAAAGTGAAGCCCTATCTCGAAAAACCAAAAAGAAAAATATAGTTTTCTCTCATACATTATATACAAACTGAAGTTTCCCCTCCTTCCACTCTTCCCAGTTTGCCCAACTCACCTCTCTTCTCCCCTAGGTCCACTCCTCTCTTTTCCTTCAAAAACAAGGATAGGTCTTCCAGGGATATTGCTCCAAACATGGTATAACAAATCACAATAAGACAGACCCTCTCAAGGCTGGACAAGGCAATCCAGTAGGAGGGAAAGGGTCCCAGTCATAGGCAACAGAGACAACCCCCTATTCCTACTGTTGGAAGTCCCACAAAAACACCAAGCTACACAGCCATAACATATGCAGAGGACCCAGTTCAGACCTATTACAGGGTCTGTGATTGTTGCTTCAGTCTCTGTGAGCCCTTACAAACCCTGCTTAGTTGATTCTGTGGACTGTGTTCTCATGGTGTCCTCAACCCAACCCTTCTGGCTCCTACAATCCTTCCTCCCCTACTTTGGGGTTCTGCCTAGTGTTTGGCGGTGGGTCTCTGCATCTGCTCCCATCAGCTGCTAGAGGAAGCCTCTCTGATGACTATTGGGTAGGCACCAGTCTATTAGTATAGCAGAATATCATTAGGGATCATTTAATTGACTTTTTTTTCCCAGTCATGTTTGGTTCTGTCCTGGATCTATGGGCTGTTCAGCTTCTGGGTCCTGCATCTAGCTTGAACCAGGTGTGGGCTCCAGAGGGAACTTTGCTGTTTATTTTTCTTCTAATGCTGGGGATCAAATCTAGTGTCTTTCACACGCTAACAACGCTAGCAAGTGTACCAGCTGTCAGTTTCTAAACATCTCCTCTTAAATCCTTCTTTATGTCCAGGAGGTGGTAGCGCACACTTTTAATCCCAGCACCCGGGAGGCAGAGGCAGGCGGATTTCTGTAAGTTTGGGGACAGTCTGGTCTACAAGAGCTAGTTCCAAGACAGCTGGTACTGTCACACAGAGAAACCTTGTCACATACAAAAAACAAATAAAACAAAAAATCCTTTTTTATTTAAATTTTCTAGCACATACTTTTTTAACATAATTTTTTATTGAGTCTTTGGGAATTTCATATCATGCACCCCAATCCCACTCATTTCCTAGTCCTTGCATACCTGCCCTCCACCCTTGTAACCTCCCAAAACAAAATAAGAACTAAAAATTAGAAAACAAAAGGAAAAACATACAAACAAACAGTCATCTCACAGACCCTGTCACGCAGCCTTCTGGGCACGTCTCCTGCCCTCCACTTTCCTGACTCCCTCACATACTTGCTGGACGTCATTGTGCTGGCATTTAAGTGGGGTGTGTCACACAGGCAGACTCGGTTTCACCGCCGTCCTGGGTGGTGGGGGGAGGCTGACCTTGAGACTGAGCCTCCTCTGCCCTCCACCTCCTAGAACAGAGACTGTGTGCTGGGATTCTAGACAGGAGCCACCACTTCTCATTAAGTGTTTTCCATTTGGAGGTTGTAGGTTTTCTTTGTTGTTTTTGTTGTCCCACCACCACGTGTCTGGGGGGAGGTGTCAAGTGGTTACACCGAGCTGGTCGAGTGTGGTGGCAAGTGTTTTCACCTTACCAGTTCTTTTCTTTAAACAAGATTTTATTTTTAAGTTATGTATACATGTGTGTATTTATGTATGGATTGCTTAGTACATGAATATACTGTCTGCAGATGATAAAAGAGGGTATCAGGTCCCTTGGAGCTACAGTTACAGGCAGTTGTGAGCCACCTGATGTGGGTGCTGGATCCTCTGCAAAAAATACTCTTACCCACTGAGCCATCTCTATTCCCTCTTTCTGGTTTCCTGATTTTTTCAAGATAGGATTCCTTTGTGTAGTCCTGGCTGTTCTGGAACTCCCTCTGTAGAGCAGGCTGGCCAAGATCTGCCTGAAAGGTGTGCTCCACAACTGCCTGGCCCCTCTTTCTGTTTTTAAGATAGGGTTGGTCTCGAAGTTACTGTGTCATGATTCAAAACTAATAGAATGTGTGTGTGTGTGTGTGTGTGTGTGTGTGAGAGAGAGAGAGAGAGAGAGAGAGAGAGAGAGAGAAATTGAGATTGATTTATTAGGAAGGCTAGCAAGTCCCCAACAATGGCTACCAACAGGTTCATGAAAACAGCTGCATGTCTCAGCAGGTCCTCAGTATACACCAAAATTCCAAAGAAGTTGTTTCTAATGGCAGTGAAGGAATGGACTTGCCAGAAGAGGGACAGTAAGCAGGCAAAGAGCAAGCTTCCATCTTGTCCTTTACAGAGACTATCAGCAGAAGGCGTGGCCCAGATTAACGGTGGATTTTTCCACTTCAAAAGATCAGGATTAAAAATTGGTCTTTCCACTTAAAATAATTCCCCCCCCCCCCCAAGACAGGGTTTCTTTATGTAGCCCTGGCTGTCATGGAGCTCACGCTGTAGACCAGGTTGGCCTTGAACTCACAGAGATCCATCTGCCTCTGCCTCCCAAGTGCTGAGATTAAAGGTATCCACCATCATAAATGTTTTAATTAAGGAAAAAAAAGCCCTCAGCTGGGTAGAGGTGCGTGCCTTTAGTCTCAGCACTCAGGAGGCAGAGACAGGTGGATCTCTGTGAGTTCAAGGCCAGCCTGGTCTACAGAGTGAGTTCTAGGAAAGCTACTCAGAGAAACCCTGTCTCAAAAAAACAAAACAACAACAACAACAAAAAAAACCAAAAATCCTCCACAGGTGTACCTAGCCTCTTGGTTTTTAGTTAATTCCAGGTGTAACCAGGTTCACAACCAAAAAAAACCAAAACAAGTTCCTCCTGAATCCATCTCCCAAATGCTGGGATTATAGTGTATGTACCACTGTTCCTGGTTTAAAATTTCATCGAGTTGGCCAGGTGGTGGTGGCGCACGCCTTTAATCCCAGCGCTCAGGAGGCAGAGGCAGGCGGATCTCTGGGAGTTCGAGACCAGCCTGGTCTACAGAGCTAGTTCCAGGACAGGCTCCAAAGCCACAGAGAAACCCTGTCTCGAAAAACAAAAAAAAAAAAAAACACAAAAAAATTTCATCGAGTCTTTTTTTCCCCCCCTTGTGGTACTGGGGTTTGAGCCCAGGGCTTCATACATGCTAGGCAACCGTACATTCTTCAGTCAGGGAATACTGTGATATGCTAACCTGGCCTCTACAGGAACAGCCCTGGACTTGCTGCTAAAGCCACTGTGGCACAGAGATGAGGAACCGTTGTGGTTTGTGGTCCCAGCTCATGGGAAACGCTCATCTATTGGTTTGGCTGGGGCTTACTTTGATTTGCCTTCCTCTAAACAGGAACTCATGTCAAACCAGGAAAGTCCTCAAAAACTCTTTGTGCAAATCTTTTGGCACGGTGTTAAATTTGGCAGAGTACAGTAACACCGCTGACTGAAGCACAGCCAGGAACATGAGAGCCCAGCTTCTCTGCTGTCAGGCCCGTCACATTGCTGACACGGGTCACCTGGGCTCAGCCTCCATCATGCATAGGTCTGGTCACTGAGCCAGCTATGTCAGGAAGGATACGTCCTCATGTTTGTTCACTTTATCCTGTAATTCTTGGCTTCTCGGTTTCTTCACCTCCCCAATTCAAGATTTGGTTGCTTTTGGAGCTCAGTGCCATCCCCAGGGCAACCCTGACTACTCTGGGTTCTTCCTTCTCCTGGCAATAGGGGACTCCCAAGTCAGGCTTAGCACCTGGAGCTGGGGTGCTCGTTAGGCTCAAACTCTATAGCAGCTTCCCAGGCTCCAGCCCTTCCTTTAATCCCCAAGCCTTGTAGGCCTTGTCTCTGGCCTTCCTGATGACAGGAGCCCCTGCTGCTACTGCTCTCTGGCCTGCTTTTACTTCTATTTAGTCCTCCTTTCCTTCCTCCCTTCCTCTCCCTTCTCCCCTCCCTCTCCCGCCCTCTGTTGCCCACCCTGGCCTTCACTCACTATGCAGCTGAAGCAGGCCTCTACCTCCTGAATGCTGCAATTACAGAGCATTATGCCCAGCATTAATTTTTTTTTTCAAGCAATGTTGGAGTTTATTAAGGAAACTGTGTGTCTCGTGTCCTGAAAGAGATTTACAACTTATCAGAGTACCTTACAGCATCAGCTCTGACGATTGTGGGTCAGGTGTGCAGGACCACACTTCAGCCCGACTGGTTTTCATAGCTCTTGCCTTCTCCACTTTAAACTTTACCCTCATTTCAGGATCTGGAAGATGGGCTTGGGGTGTGTGTGTGGGTCACTTCATCACTTTGTTCCTTTTTTCTTTCTTGGGGGGGAGGTTCAGTTCAAATTAGGGTTTCTGTGTAACAGCCCTGGCTATCCTGAAACTTGCTTTATAGACCAGGCTGGCCTTGAATTTACAGATATTTGCCTGTCTCTGTCTCTCAAGTGCTGGGATTAAGGGTGTGCACCACCACTGCCCAGCTACTACTTTGTTCCTTTTTCTGCACTTCACTCTAAGAAAAAAGGAAGAAAGGCTTTTGCTCTTGCAGGAATAGCTGAGTTAGTTGGAGGTGTACTTGCAACTAAGCACAAGGGCCTGAGTTCAAATCCCAGCACATAAACACAAATACACACACACAAATAAAACCAACTTGGATGGTTCCTGAGAACCGGCCGGCGTTGGCCTCCAGCACCTACATACATTCACACTTGCACATTTGGCCTTCCATATTTGTGCAAACAAAAGGTTTTCAGGCAGTTGAGTGCACGGCTGCAGGAGAGTCATGAGCGTAGAGACTACCGTACACAGCGAGTGCGAAAATAAACTACAGTAGGGTTTGAGAGGCCAGCGGGGCATTAAGGCAAAGAGACAGGCCCTTGGGAAGACGATGGCATATGGCCAGGCGTGGGTATGGATTCGCAAGAGTCTTTTATTTTGAGATAAGCTTTTACTGAGTTGCTCAGGCTGACCTTAAACTTTCCAGCATCTTCCTTCAGCTCCTCCAAGGCTGTGGCTGTAAGAGTTTACCACCAGAGCCGGGCGATGGTGGCGCACGCCTTTAATCTCAGCACTCGGGAGGCAGAGGCAGGCGGATCTCTGTGAGTTCGAGACCAGCCTGGTCTACAGAGCTAGTTCCAGGACAGGCTCCAAAGCCACAGAGAAACCCTGTCTCGAAAAACAAAAAAAAAAAAAACAAAAAACCAAGAGTTTACCACCAGGCATGGCTTATTCTGTTGTTCTTGTTTACTTAGTTCTGGGGTGCCATCATCTAGTTTTCAGTGTTCACTCTGTCATGTCTGGAGCTACGACAGAGTGCCAGGCAGTGGCCTCCTCCTTCCAAGAGGTAGCCTGTCAGAGGATCAGTTAAATTTGAATGTCAAAGGCTGATGGGCTTACGGGTCACAGTCATCAGTAAAAGGGTTCACACCCATGCTTTCCCCGAGTATCAACCTTTTTTTTCAACTTGAACGTGGACAACCTGAAGAGACCTTGTCAAAAAACAACCCAACTGGGTGTGATATATCATGCGCATAGTCCAGCACTTAAGAAGCAGACACAGATGGATTGCTACGAGTCTAAGACCAGCCTGGGCTATAGTGTGAGTGAGACTGTTTCAAATACAAAATAAACAAGAATGAACTAGTGTTATGTCATTTTTCCCGGGAGATAGGAATGTCTGTTCACCCTGGACAGGGTCCCAGAGACAGACCAAAGTATGAATCTGCCCTAATCCAAATTAGGGAACCAAGGAGTTTGGGGGTTTTCTTACAGGAGCAGGGGTGACCCAAAGACACCTGTGTCACTGAAAACACAGCATAGGCAGCCGGGCGGTGGTGGCGCACGCCTTTAATCCCAGCACTCGGGAGGCAGAGGCAGGCGGATCTCTGTGAGTTCGAGGCCAGCCTGGTCTACAAGAGCTAGTTCCAGGACAGGCTCCAAAACCACAGAGAAACCCTGTCTCGAAAAAAAAAAAAAAAAAAAAACCACACAGCATAGGCAATGATTCACTTGAAGCCCACGTTTTGGAATCTCCTGTCCAATCAG